GGCTCATTGATAGTGGTGTGAATCAAGTCATTAGCAACTCTAGCACATTGTTCCTTTTGCTCTGATGGCAGAAGCTGTGGAACGAATTTTGCCATGACATGTTTCAGGCAAAGACCCTCCGTGAAAATCTCAGACCAAGTTTTTGAATCCCCAGATCAGCTTCTAGTTCTTGTACTGTCAGTTGCCAATCTTGGTTGACTGCAGCCTGTACACATGCAACATTCTCAGGTGTTCTGCTTGTTGCAGGCCTTCCAGACTGTAGATCACTTTCAACAGATTCTCGACTATCTTTGAAGTGTTTGTGCCACACTTTTATTTGTACTGCATTCATTGCATTGTCCCCGGAGGCCTTCTGAATCATCCAAATACTTTCTGTGGAAGAATGTTCAAGCTTAACACAAAATTTAATGCAGATTCGTTGCTCTAGTTGCCCAGTCATTTTGAATGCCATGGTCACACAGTACACTTGCTCACTCAGTAGCATCTACCATCCCCACTGACTAGTACAATGAAGTCATCATTGTTCATGCATGCACATCCCAGTCCACTCTCCCTGGCTGCCAGGTTATGTGATGTTGCCCAAACCATTCTCAACAATGGATGGACCTTTTCTGGACAGACCCCATATATATATAGGCCATGGACACAGATAATAGTGTGGTGAAGGCCAGGGAAATAGGAGGTGTGAGGTTGGGTAGATGTGGGCAAAGGGCAAGAAAATGGGGGATATCTCTAATGGTATCAATAAAAAACTAAAAAAAATACAAATAATTCTTGTCCATAGCAATGCAAATTAATTGTGTTTTGTGAGATCTTGTTGGGAACTGCCCTGACTGGTATCAGAAGCTGAAACCCCCACCTAGGCTAAGGCTAAGGGAATGCCCTTGGAACTGTAAGCCAGCAAGGAGACAAAAGCTTATCTTCCTGGCAGGAATGCTGCTTCTGCTGCTTTATTCATGACTGAACCCCAAAAAGCTTGGTCGGTTAGCCAAAGATGGGTAAGATTCCCCACAGGGGGAACGACCTAAGCCAGGCATGATCACTTTGGGAGGCCCCCCAAAAGAAGGACTTGAGGGGCTGCAGCAAAAGGGGGCGATGGACCCTCGCTCCTCGGCTTTGACATAGCCTGAGTTCTCAGCATCTGGGAAAAAACCTCCTTGTCTCCCAGTTGCCTTAGTTCTCTTGCTCCACCTAAGCCTGAAACAATGACAGGGTGGTGCAGCTCGGTACTGAGAAGTGCGGATTCCCCGGGGTGATCAGGCCTAAGAAAGAACATGTAAATTACTGTGAAACCTTCTTTGTTTAGAATGCTCTCAGTTGAATGAGAAGGGTCTTAGGAGGAAGTTATTTTGTTCCTCAGTCTTACAGCTCTTTGACCCCCAACTCAATAGACCGGCAGAGTTCTTTGTTTTCTATGGTTCCTTACTTCCCCCTAAAGAGTACTGTACTTTACCTGAATTATTATGCAAAATGAGCCCAATAAAAGCAGGTATGGACGGTAAATCAGCGTGCTCCCCAATAGGGGGGGTGGCCATTTCGTCCCTACTTGCCCACAGAAACTAGTCTGTCTCTGTGCATGTGTGTTTTTTCTCGCGTGTTTATCGTCGAGCCATCCACAGTGTTCCGTGGTCACTGCTGGCCGGTGACCCACGCGCAACAAGATCTATTTAATTACTACCCTAGAGACAGATCTTGTAGATGTTACCATTTTTGACTGCATTTCCTGTGAACTGGTATAGTATCTTTTCCAGTTCCCTCATTGATTTAATGAGTTAAATAAAGTCTTTGTTATATGTGTAAATATATATATGTATAAAATAATGATTCTACCTTTCTGAAAAACCATCTCTTAACAATATTAATAACTCCCCTATGAATAACTTTGAATAAGCAACTTCAGAGAGTTCCATTTGCTGAATATCATTTCACTTCAAATGTCTTAGATTCCAGCAGCTAATTAACAATGAATTCATTTGGCAAAGGAAGCCCATAGTGAAACTTGCTTTGTAGAAGATAATGCACCACTTGGAGGTCAATAGAGGGTGTAACTGGGTGCAGGCAGAGAAGCCCCAAGTCCCACCCCACAAAATCCTAGCTTTGGGGCTGGGAAAAGCAGCAGCACAGGGATTGAGAGTTATTTTGCATATCAATAACAGCAAGCTAGCTTCAAAGCCTGTGAGAAGCTAGGGAGAGGGGCAGGACTTTGACAGCCGATGTGTGATGTAGCTGGGAGGCAAGGTCCCCTGGGTTACAGCGTCTGTGTGAGAGCTTGGAGATGGCTGGCTCCAAGCTACGGGCCAAGCCTGCCTGGTGTAACCTTGGCAGCAAAGAAAGGCAGAGAATACAGGAATGCCAGCAGGTGTAGCCAACAGTAGAAGGAGTCGGAAATGGGGTCATGGAAGAGGTTCCAGGCTGGGATTTAAACAAAAAGGCAGCCTGTCATGTGGTTTTGAACTAAGAACTGGAGATCTGAGGGACACAGCTGATGGTGATGGGAGCTGTGGGAGACTTGCTTAGCTGAGCATGGACTACTGGAAGGAACTGGGAGAAGTGAGCTGTGAAATTCTGTTTTTTCCTTCTGGAGGGCGGTACTTCTGACTGGCTTGCTCTGAGACTGGCCTGACAGGGAAAAGGGGTTGGGCGGGAGGGCAAGACTGTGTGCTTGTGGGTGTATCTTCGTTTCTAAAGGGAGTGAGATTTAACAGTAGAATTCCACCATTTTTCTAAACCTGTATAACTTTTAATTAAATAGTTCCTTTCCTTTTTACCAAACTCTGGCATTGAGAGCCACAATTCCTACCAATGGTGGGCACAGAAGAACCAGAGTACAAAAAGACTTCAGAGTGGGATGCGTTTCTGTTACAAGGGGGCAAGATAAGGGCAACTGCTATCATTTGGTCTTGTGGAGAGCCCAAACTGGCCAGCTGGTAAGTCAAAGTGAAGGGTCAGCTCTAAGAACATTCCAAAGATGGCATCAACAGCATCTTACAATAATCTTACACAAGTGAGTAAAACAAATCCAAGTCACAAGGTGCTACAGGAAAAATAGACTTCAATGGAGCAAAGGATACCCCCTGTAAAGAGCAACTAAGTACGCAACAATTTAGTACAGGAATATGCTCAACAAGTGTGTGGACCTGAATTAGTTATCCCACAGGAAAACTACCCAGGGCCAGAATCTTCTCCTTCCTTTAGTCACATTTCTGGTGACCATATACCAACTACCTGACACTGCTGGGCACTCAAAACAAAAAAACCTGGTAAGTAAATGAAATGAATACATCTGTATTAAAAAGCAGAAAATACAAAATTCAAGTAGTGTTGGCATCTCAGGAAAGAATGTTGGTAGGGAAAGTGGGTGCCACTGAGATTGGGTGAGGTGCCCCCTAAAGGCCAAAGGAGATCTCCCAGGATCACATAGCTACTTCATGGAATAATGTGGCTGGAATCCAGTGTTTTGGAGGCTCTAGCCTGAGGTGGGGGCTTGCAGATTTTTATTTAAACTAATCATAATTATGAAACAAAGGTCAGGGAGATGTGCACAACCAAATATTAATGTAAATAAGTTAATAGAAAACCCAAGATATGGGGGGCTTTTTTAATTGTATTGATTTCATTTACCATCCATTAGCCATTCACTTGATTCAGACATTTTGAAATCTTGGCTTATTGTCCCAATTTTGCAGCTGAAACACTGAATCCCAAAAGTAGAGCCAGATTACACATTTTACATTAACTCTGAATTCTCATAGAAAATCCTATTGCTAACCAGGCTTGGAACAAGTTACACCAGGACAGCGCAGCCATGGTACTGGCGGAAGTGAGGCAGGAGAAAGCATAGGAAGAACTCTGAGACTGCAATACTGTCACTGGCCAGCATTTAACACCCTGGTTGCCAGGAAACACCTTTTACCAATTAGGCAGAATAAATAGTAAACGGAGGCAGGAAGGAGGAAGGAGAGCCTTGAGGCTGTTTTTCATCCCAAGGCCTGAATGTGGGAGAGGGTCCCCAGTGCTTACAGAAAGAGCCCATAAATAACCTTGGAAAGTGTCACAATTTTAATTAACTGCCTCCTGTCACGTATTTGTTTTACAACAGGATGACCAAGTGGAGTCTGGAGCAAGATAAGGATTCGGGCTGACAGATCCCCACACATCCCTAAGCTTGGGTAGTCACATTCCCCCAGGAAAGCTGGTGCCACATTTACCCGTTAATCAATATGTGACTTTTTCCCCTCCTATCCCACCAACTACCTAAGTCCTGGGAAGAAAGGACTCTCTCTCTCTCTCTCTCTGGGGCTCAGGGTGCTCTTGGCTCTCGGGCCACAGAGCCTCTGGCCACCAGGCTTCAGGCTTGCCACCCTGGTCTTCAGCCGCTCTTGCTTTTCTCACCCTGCTTTGCCCTGAAACTGTGTCTTTCACCCCCTACTCTACCCAGTCCTGTTCTCTTCCATGGGAACAGGCCACTAATAAACTGATTACATACTACTAGATTTGCTGATATGTAATTCTTTACATGCGTCAGCAAGAAGAACCAGGTCTCTTCCGTCAACAGAAGGATGCCTGAAGAGGAGTCACTCAGTTTTAGTCCTGGAAGATCCTTGACCATTCCTTCTACAGAACATGCTGAGCCAGTTTGCCTCACAGTGGTCCTTCCCACTTAACCAGGGTGTTTGGGGGGATCAAACATCATCTATGCAAAATAACTTTGTAAATTAATGCATTATCAATAAAAGGAACTATCATTAGAAAACGATACCATTTTCTAAGCAGAAAAGAAATGCAAAAAAGCCAATAAAGCCAAAGAAACTCCACCTAAGGAAAGAGATACTTCACTTGGGATCCAAAGGTTCCCCTTGGACTTTGTCTTTCCTTCCTTCTTGGCGGGTGCGCGCCAAACGAAAACCTTCTTGGAGTGAAATTTCAAGGCAATTTACAAACCAACTTTCCATCGGCTTTCTACGAATGTGAGAATACCTTCTAGGCAACTCAGAACTCACCAGTTTCCATGTGTTAAGGAAACCCGAGGCAAGCCCCTTCCAGTCCCACTCAATGTCAGAGACCAACAAGCTTCACTTTGCAAACCTGTTGTGCGAGACAGTAGTCTTTAGAAAGCGCGCTCCCAGTAGATCCCACAGCACAACGGCCTTTAAGGAGCAGGGAAGTAAATCCGGAGAAAATGCACGCCTTCTCCCTCTCACGCAGCTCAAGCCCTTCTAGATAGTAGGGCGCCCTGGCAGAGCCCAACACGAGCCTATCACACAGCCCAGAGCTGCCCACCACGAGGCTGCAAGCTTCAGGTCCGTTCCGCCGACCTTCCAGCAGCAGCACGTACATGGTTCCGCGCCGGCGTCCCGCGTGGTTTTTCGCAGGTTTTCACAAACGCGCCCAGTTTCTGTGAGTCTGCGCTTGACGTTAGTGTTAGTATTTGAAAGTCTACAACTTATGAACAGAAGAATGATGAGGCAAAGACATGAAAGCGCTTGATCTGAAAGTCTTTAGACAATAGATCTGCAATTTTTCCGTAATTTCCAGCTGAACAAAGAAATAGCCTGTCGCGACTGCAAACCAATGATGAATGAGCTCTTCCTGCAGTTTATGAGAGCCCTCTAAACAGAATTCCTTACATTGTTGATTTCACAGGAAACACTTCTAAATCAACTGTAATGTTCTGCACGCCATGGTTGAAAGAGCTTGAGTTTCTTCATCTTCTGCGCCAAAGATGAAAAGAAATGAACGCGTTTCACACATGCCACCTTCGCTGGTATTAAATCGAAGATAACAGCACAAGAAGAGCTTCATCGCACAACTTATGAATGCCTTCGAATTATATCCGTGGAGGCCTTCTGAAATGAAATGAGCGATTCAAACAGCAGTGTCCACTACGAGTAAAATGCCATTCTGAATTCAACTTGATGATTCATACAGCATGGCAATGAGGCAGCCCTATATAAATTTATATCCATGGTGAAATGAATAAGTCTTCTAACAGAAACAGCTCTTTTCCTTCCATACACAGCAACACTTGCTCCTTGAAACGTGTTCCTTCCTTCCATCCAGCCAGTCACACTGCCCATGCCCTGCAAACTTCACCAACAAAGATGAGACTGATGTCTGCTGAGTGCTGCCCTGGTTACCAGGAACACAACGGCAGGCCACACAGGCAAACACCTGTCGTTTTGAAGCTCGCGTGGAAGTCCAGGTTTCTGTCTCCGTTGCCAAGGCCAGGGCATCTTCCAGTGGAAATGATTCTATTCCTTCAGTACCTCAAAGGTGGACGATGCAGTTAAAAGATTATTCTCCACAAAAGGTAAAGTTTGACTCTCTCACAGGTTAAAAGTAAACATGCTAATTATTTCATTCAATTCGTTAATGAGGAAGTTGGTGCGGTGTTACAACCAGTTTAAAAGAGAAGTCAGAATAGTCAAAAGAAATGTTGAAACGAATGTGCCAATGGAGACGAAGCAAACTTGTTCTATGGTGGAAGAGGGAAGTGAGTTGAATCTCTGCCAGTATTGCTGTGGGTTAGCTATGATTTACAGACCTGCAAAATAACTTATAAAGTGACACTCAAAACCTGAAAGGGATCCTCTACAGAAGACAGTGCACAGTTTTCCACTGAAGCACAAATTTTTCCCTACACTGCCAACATCAAGGCTTCTGTTTCTCTCTCTCCAAAGCTACAGGGAGCTGTCACAAAGTTTCTCAGACTCAGCACTTTTGAGCCAAGTAATTCTTTACTGTAGGGACTGCAGCATCCCTGGCCTTTACCCACTAGATGCCAGTAGGAACTTCAAATCCTGCACTGGTGATGACCAATGGTATCTTCAGACATTGCCTAATGTCCCCTAGGAGGCAAAGCCATCCCAGGTTGAGAACCGCTGTGTTAGCGGTAGAGGTTCACATAAATACCATACCAACCCCAACCCCATAAACTGTAGAATACACAAGCAATCCTAGAACAATTATTTTCTGTTCTCCGTCTGCAAAATTTTCTATTTAAACACCAATTTTTATGAGAAATTTTTATTTTTGTATTGTTGTTTAAGCACAGTTGTCTCCATTTTCACCCCACCATGCCTCCCTGCCCCACTCATCCCCACCTCCCATCCTTCAGCCTACTTTCTTCTGCTTTGTCCTCTTGTCTTTTTATAGGTTCTTCGATGGGCCTTCCCCTATTTTCCCCCATTATCCTCCCCCCCCTCTGGTTACTGTCAGTTTGTTCTTTATTTCAATGTTTCTGCTTATATTTTGTTTGCACGTTTGTTTTGTTGATTAGGATCCACTTACAGGTGAGGTCATGTGGTATTTGTCTTTCGCCACCTGGCTTATTTCACTTAGCTTAACGTTCTCCAGTTCCATCCATGATATTGTGAAGGGTGGGAGCACCTTCTTTCTTTCTGCTGTGTAGTATTCCATTGTGTAAATGTACCAGTTTTTTATCCACTCACTTACTGGTGGGCATTTAGGTTGCTTCCAGCACTTGGCTATTGTAGATTGTGCTGCTATGAACATTGGGGTGCATAGGTTCTTTTGAATTTAAATACCAATTCTTTTATACAGTTGTACTTCTCTAGCAACAGTTAGGGTTATAGTATCCAATATTTGTACTAGAAATCTGAATCCTTTGTATGTCCTTCTTGGAGAAGTATCTGTTCAAGTCCTTTACCCAGTTTTTAATTGGATGGTTTGTCTAGAGTGGATTCATATGAGTTCTTTATGTATTTCAGAGATTGAACCCTTGTTCAAGGTATCATTGGAAAATTTGTTTTCCCATATAGTTGGTTCTCTTTTTATTTTAATGCTCTTTTCTTCAGCCATGCAGAAGCTTTTTAATTTGATGAGATCCCATTTGTTTATTCTTTCCTTTATGTCCCTTGCTCTAGGGGGATATATCAGTGAAAATATTGCTTAGTGGAATATCTGAGATTTTCCTGCCTATGTTCTCTTGAAGGACTTTCATGGCATCACAACTTATATTTAAGTCTTTTATCCACCTTGAATTTATTTTTGTATGTGGTGTAAGTTGGTGGGCAAATTTCATTTTTTGCATATAGCCATCCAGGTTTCCCAACACCATTTGTTGAAGAGGCTTTTTTAACTCCATTTTATGCCCATGCCCCCTTTGTCAAATACTAATTGACCATAAAAACTTGGGTTCATTTCTGGGCTCTCTATTCTGTTCCATTGATCTCTGTGTCTGTTCTTATGCCAGTACCAGGCTGTTTTGAGTACAGTGGCCTTGTAATACAGTTTGATGTCAGGTATTGAGATCCCTCCTACTTTGCTCTTCTTTCTCAAAATTGCTGCAGCTATTTGGGGTCATTCATGGTTCCATGTAAATTTTTTATGTGTTTGTTCTATGTCTGTGAGATATGCCATTGGTACTTTAATAGGTATTGCATTGAATCTATAACTTGCTTTGGGTGGTATGGACATTTTGATGATGTTAATTCTTCTAATCCATAAACACTGTATATGTTTCCATTTGTTTGTGCCTTCCTTGATTTCTTTCTTCAGTGTTGTGTAGTTTTCTGAGTACAGGCCTTTTACTTCCTTGGTTAGGTTTATTCCTAGGTATTTTATTTTTCTTGTTGCTATATCAAATGGAATTTTCCCCCTGATTTCTGCTTCTGCTGTTTCATTGTCGGTATACAAAAATGCCTTTGATTTTAGAATATTGACTTTGTAGCCCACTGTTTTGCCAAAACCATTTATCAGGTTAAGTAGTTTTTTTTGTGGAGTATTTAGGATTTTCTATGTACACTATCATGTCATCTGCAAACAGTGACAATTTTGCTTCCTCCTTTCCAATTTGGATGCCTTTTATTTCTTTTCCTTGTCTGATTGCTGTGACTAGGACTTCCAGTACTATGTTGAATAGAAGTGGTGAAAGTGGACAACCTTGTCTTGTTCCTGATCTTAGTGGAAAAGCTTTTAGTTTTTGCCCATTGAGTATGATGTTGGCTGTAGGTCTCTCGTATATGGCCTTTATTAGGTTGAGGAATGCTCCCTCTATTCCCACTTTGCTGAATGTTTTAGTCAAAAATGGGTGCTGTACATTATTAAATGGTTTTTCCACATCTATTGATGTGATCATGTGATTTTTGTCTTTGTTTTTATTTATGTGATATATTATGTTTATTGATTTGCAAATATTGTACTATCCTTGCATCCCTGGAATGAATCTCACATGATCATGGTGTATGATCTTCTTAATGTATTGTTGGATGCAGTTTGTCAATATTTTTTTGAGGATTTAGCATCTATGTTCATCAGTGATATTGGCCTAAAGTTTTATTTCTTTGTTGTGTCTTTATCTGGTTTTGGGATTAGGATGATGTTGGCTTCATAAAAAGAGTTTGGCAGTCTTCCATCTTCTTGGATTTTTTGGAGTAGTCTGTGAAGGATAGGGGTTAGCTCTGCCTTAAATGCTTTGTAGAATTCTCCTGTGAAAACTGGTGGTCCAGGGCTTTTGTGTATTGGGAGTTTTTTGATTACTGCTTCAATTTCATCTGCTGCTATTGGTCTGTTCAGGCTTTCTGCTTCTTCTTCATTGAGTTTTGGAAGACTATATTTTTCTAGAAATTTGTCCTTTTCACCTAGGTTCCATGTTTACATATTTGAGGAACTTCCATACTCTATTTCATAGTGACTGCACCAATTTACAATCCCACCTATAGTGCATGGGGTTTCCCTTTTCTCTACATCCTTGCCAACACTTATTATTTCTTAAGTTATTAATAATAGCCAATCTGACAAATGTGAGGTGATGTTTCATGGCGGTTTTAATTTGCATTTCTCTATGACTTGTGACATTGAGCATCTTTTCGTTGTCTATTGGCCATCTGATTTCCTCTTTGGAGAAGTCTCTATTCAGGTCCTCTGCCCATATTTTAATTAGGTTTTTTGTTTTTATCAGTATTGAGTTACATGAGTTCTTTATAAATTTTGGGTATTACTAACTCCTTATTGGATGCATCATTGGCAAATATCATCCTCCATTCATTAGGTTGTCTTTTCCTTTTGTTTATTTTTTCTTTTGCTGGACACAGGCTTTTTAGGTGGATGTAAACCCATTTGTTTATTTTTTTCTTTTGTTTCCCTTGCCTGGGGGGATATATCAGAAAAATATTACTAAGAGAAGTGTCAGAGAGGTTATTGCCTATGTTTTATTCTAGTTTTATGGTTTAGGGTGTTATATTTAAGCCTTTATTGCATTTTGAGTTCATTCGTTTATATGGCATAAGATGGTCTAGTTTAATTTTTTTGCCTGTACCTATCCAATTTTC